TGTTGGTTGTTGCGGTTCTTTGTCTTCTATTACACTCCACATCATCATCATCATCATCAACATCAACCCTTGGTTCGACATTTATAAGTAATCGGCCCTATTGGCATTTTATACAAACTAAAAAAATTTTTTTTTAAATATCACGCAAGTGGTGATAATAATAATAAAATCGTCTCGTTTTAAATGACAACCACATGTTATTTTCTGCTAAAATATTTAGAAATTTATGCAAAGACAACAGAATAGTAATAATAATAATAATAATAAGACGCGTGTTAGGTCATCCTATGTTTAAACAGATGTTAAGAAACCCAAATTTCAAGAACAAAAAAAAAATGGACCTCATATAATGAATTTACGTTTCATTGATGAAAAGTGATAAATTGCGTCGTCGTCGTCGTCGCCGTCATCGTCATCGTCGTTTAAGCACGTGTCAGAGATCAACCTTTTTTTTCATATAATATTCGTTTATTTAATAAGTCTGCCTACCACCTGGTTACGACCCTGTTAATGATAAAAAAAAGCTCCTGATTCTGGACCCTCAATTTCATATATCCCCTCTTATAACAATTTTTTTTTTTTTCCTATACATTCTTGATTGATTAATATTATATGGTGACATGTCCGTCCGATCGACTTTTGACAGCCACGTTTCCTGTCTCGATACAAAATTAAAATCCAGACGAATCGAAAAAAAAAAAATTTTTTTTTTTTGTAACCTTTCGAAAATTTTTTCCATAAAAAAGAAAAAAATTTTTATCTAATGATTACGTCACACTATAAAACGTCATAAACTATAATTCATATAAATGCGAAATCGATATCCGGACACAAACAAAAGGTTGTGTTCTCACGATCGGGAACCTTTCGTATCTATTTTTTTTTTCCTTTTTAACCTTTCGTATTAAAAAACAAAACGAAAAAAAAAGGTTTTCCCAAATTATTTTATCCTTTTCATAAAATAAAATTAAATTAAAAAAAATAAATAAATAAATGAAATAGTTTTTTTTATTAATTAGTGACTGGATTTTATTCTACATCATTTCATAATAATTACGGTACTGATTTCATACTTTTTTAAAAAAAAAAAATAATAATAATAATAACAATAATAAATACGTGAAAAAGGCAAAATTCTAATTACAAAACGTTTTTGTTTTTTTTTTTAGTTTTATAAACGATCAATAATAAAATCGATCGATTTTAAAATTTAAAAAAAAATTATTATTATTATTGTTATTATCATTTTTTCGATTTTTGTCTATTTATTAATTTATTATTATTATTATTATTATTATTATTATTATTATTAGTACAGAATAAAAAATGGAGAAAAAAAAAACATACAAAATCGCGTCGGTAAATTTATAACAATACAAAATATTTTCATCATCAATGATTAAATTAAAAAGATTAATAATAATATGATAGTAATAATAATAATAATAATAATAATAATAATTTTCATTTAAAAAACTATTATTTTAAATGTTTTGTTTAGATCCCCTTATTTCCCCCTTCCCTTCCCACCCACCCAATCCCTACACACCCTCTCCTCGGTTTTACTTTTTTTAATCCCAGTTTTGATTTTTAAGGCACGATTGAAAAAAAAAAAAAATTTTATTACAAAGGACGGATTTTAAAGATGCGCGAAAAAGCAGCAGCAGCAGCAGCAGTAGAAACGACAACAACAACAACAACAGCTACAAAAACAATTTTACTTCATATATATTTTAATTTTTTTTTCCTCTCTCGAAAAAATGACATTTTCGTAAGAATTTTAATTTTTTAATCGGTAAAATTTTAAAATATAAAAAATTTATTATTATTATTATTATCATTATTATTATCATTATCATTATTATTATTATTACTATTAAAATTAGAATTAAATGAATAAATAATAATTTGTTAAAACATTTAAATAAAATCGTGGCAAATAGTCAATAATTGAGCGATTTTATTTTTTACCTACTTATTATCAAACTTAAATAACGATTCTATTATTATTATTATTATTAGTATTATCATTATCATCATCATTATTATTATTGACTATAAACTGGCAGGAAACGTTTCAATAAAAACAGTCGTCGGTCAATACAGAGCTCGCTAAATTTTTTTTTTTTTTTTCGTTAGGGTATCAAACGCTAGGCACGTTTGAAAGAACGAAAAAAAATAAGCAAAAGCAGAAGACATTGCATCGATCGATCGATCGATGGATCGATATATCGATTTGTGAGAAAGCCGTTCAATTAATTAATTTTATTGATATTTGAAACAAAAAAAAAAAAAAAATCGACAAATTTTACATTATTGATTATGAATAAATATAAATCTTTTTTTTTCTTTTTGCTTTCAATTATTACGTCGTGGAAAAAGAAATAAATTTTTTCTATTTACACGACAATATTAAATCAAACGCATCGCACGAAGCCATTTAAAAAAAAAAAAAAAATCCGACGGTAAAAACTAATTCGTAAAAAATCTGAGATCTAATTT